GTGTGAGAAGAGAAGGGGGAAGATGAGAGGCTTTACAAACCATAAGTGTTCCCTTTTCTTTGTAACCAGGTCAACAGCCAAGATGTTTCGAGAGTGGCGGTGAAGGAGGGGAGGGGGGGATGTGGGAAAGAGGTTTGTGGTGCATATTCAAGTACACGGCAGAGTGCATGCTGGAAAATGCACGTTTATTTTAATTTTTTTTTAGATGCATGTGTTGGGTAAAGTCTGGGAGAAAGTCGTGCATTTTGAAAACCACAAGGAGTTGTTTGGGTTTTTCTTTTTTTTTGTAGCAGTTCCCTAATCTGGCACGAAACACATCTGTTTGTGGAGGAGGCATGACTTGAAGGAGGGGAAAGTGAGAGAAAGGAAAGAGCAAGAGGGAAGGGAAATGCAGCCCACATATGAAACTTGATGAAGTCAAGTGTGCACTGATTGACGAGAGACCTGCAGTGACTCTTAGATGCAAAGACCGCATGAGAATCTAAAGGCATATACGTCCTAATTTCTGTATTTAGTAGAGGAGAAAAGTTACTAGCGTAGCCTCGATTTGCCCTCGTGTGTTTGCCTGCTAAATGTTACAGCTGACACACTAATTACCCGGTTTGAGGATGTTACCGGGAGTTTGACAAACCCCCGCTTGCCACAGGTTTTGTTGTGATGGCAGCTTTGTCGGCATCTGCATTTCAAAAAACCTGCCACATTTTAGAGATAACTAACCCCCGCATGATCCCTGTCACTGGCTCTGGCTGCACTGGCTCACAAGCCGAGTGACTCACACAGGCTCCATATCATTTAGTCTGTACACATTATAAGTCAGATTTTCTAGATTCTCTAAGATTGGAAAATGCTTGCTGGAGTTTCGCTAACAGGAGCTCGCCAACACGTTGCTCTTAAAGCTGAGTTCTAGTTGTGGGGGTTTAATGTCATCAAGCATTGAGACTGATGCTGAATTCACTTGAGTAATGTTACCAGAGAGCAGGCTCGCTGTTTGTAGCTCAGAATCACATCCAGAGGAGAAGAGGCCCAGGATATGCCGGTGCATTAATGAGCGTACACTTGATGTATTCAGGACATCTTCTTGATGTTGAGCTGTAGCCTTTCTCGCTCAGTTCATATCTTTCCCGTCTTAAACCTTTACTTGGCTAATTTCACAGTTTTTCTATCCACCCATCTCCCCCATGTGATTAGTGAATATTTGATAAAGGGAATCTGTGTGGGCTGGTAAGTTAAACTAGGTTCACTTCACCCGAGTGTGAACATTTCATCACAGGATCTTGCATCTGTCCATGTCAGAAGTGCATGCGTGTACCTACAGAAAGAGATTTGACCTGCATGGAAAGTGTGCCAGGAAAAAAGCCTTTGTTGTGCAAAAAGAACATTAGAGCCAAGACTACAGTTTGCCAACAGGAAAAGAGCACCTCTTTTGGAATAATGTGCCCTGGACACATGAATCAAAGACAGAGTTGTGTGAACACAGTGACAGCTGTGAAGCATTGTGGTGGAAACAGGTTTGGGGGTTTTGCTTCGCTGCCTCTGGGACTGGCCATGGCTGGGTTATGGGATGGTCAGAGCCAGGATTTGAATCCCATTTCCTTATGGTGTTGCTCAGGTTTACCAGCTTTAGACACTGTTTTAAAGAGAAACAAATGTTAGCTTTTTATATATATGAAGAGTTCATTTGCAAAAACAGATAACTCAACATTTTTGTAGATTTTCAGAAAGCTTATTTTTTGTTGTTTGCTTCAGATAATATCAATCAAAGTGAAGTTGAGTGGATTTGACTCAGAAGAAACGACAAAAATAGAGACAACTTAAGTTTGATTGATGTTGTCTCAGGTAGACGATGGAAAAGTGGGTTTTCTGAAGGTTTGTGAAGATGGAGTTATCTGTTTTTGCAAATGAACTCCATCCATCCATTATCTATACACCGCTTGATCCTCACTAGGGTCATGGGGGGCTGGAGTCTATCCCAGCTGACTCAGGGCGAAGGCAGGTTCACCTGGACAGGTCACCAGTCTATCACAGGGCTACACTTAGAGACAGACAACCAAGCACACTCACATTCACACCTACTGACAATTTAGAATCACCAATTAACCTCAACATGTTTTGGGACCTTGTTGGAGGAAGCCGGAGAACCCGGAGAGAACCCACGCTGCACGGGGAGAACATGGAGACTCCATGCAGAAAGATCCCAGATGTCCTCACCGGATGTGAACCAGCGACCTTCTTGCTGCGAGGCAACAATGCAAACCACAGAGCCACCCTGCAGCCCCAAATGAACTCTTAATATGTGAAATAAATAAATAAACAAAAATAAATAAAAATAACAACAACAATTTCCAGTGTATTTCCCATGAGCACCTTAACACACACACACACAGCGAGCACTCTCTAGTTAGCATTTATGCCTGAAACCATACCTGCGGTAAACGCATGCCTTGACACAGTAATTGGATGCATTTTTAGTAATTAGGCTGCTTCCTCTGGATTCTGACCTCCCGTGATGGGTTAAGCATGCAGCAGATGGAGATGCGTGCTTAAAGTCTTGGAGGTGAGTTCTGAGCCCAGTTACCCCTGGGGACTGACAGGTGTTCCAAGCAAAAGAGCCGCTATAAAATAGAGGGCTTCAATTATTAGTCAGAAAAAGACCATGAGTGCATAGTTATACTTGAACGAGGTGGGCCATAAGGCTGAGGTTGATAAGATGTTTATGATTCCTCCTGGGAATGTCTAATTAAATGACGGCCTTGTGGGTCTCACTCAGTCATCTGTGATCAGACTTTGAATGTAGTCAGGCAGTGGCCCCTATGGGCTACCATCTGTAAAACAAAGCTGATCTGCGAAAAGCCACACTGTAATGTTCTGTTGTTGTAGGGGCTGAGAAGTCAGACTCCCCCCTTTTCCTTTTTTTTTTTTTTTTTATCCTTGCGTTGCACCACAGAATAGGTTCCTGTGCTGCAAATGAGTGACTCAGGGAAAAACATGCTGCGGGTCATGCGTGGAGACACTGGCACGCACAGGAACACGTGTGCAGGTGCGCAGACACACATTGGCATAATGAGACAACACATGCACAAGCGGGCACACCCGTTTTGCAGACACAAGCAGGCACTCGCACGTCCAGCCTACACCTCCCTCAGTTTTACCAGTTGCTCCTGTTGGAACCGTTTTGAGCAACTTATTGCGGCGTTTCGCTCCATTCGAGCCTTTGCCAGACGAGTTCCAGATATGCAGTTGTGTTCGGATCGTGGGCTGTGAGTGTTGTTGTGACTGTGGGTGACGGAGGGGGACGTGGGGGGCGCTCTGCTCTGCTCTGCTCTGCTCTGCTCTGCTCTGCTCGGCTCGACTCGGCTCGGCTCAGCGCAGGACGCAGGAGATAGTCGCTCTCCAAGGTGCTGAAGTCGGAGCGCTCCCTCCTCACTCTCGCCCTCCTCACCATCAAATAATGACTGGCTCCGGTCTCGAATGGTCTACATTTTTATACTCTTTAACTTCCTCACATGTGGATTTTTCTTTTTCTATTATTCGCTGCGCAACCGCTGGATGTATATGTGCAACAAGACTCACTGCTGCTTTCTAATATCCTTCGTTGGGAAATACTGAATTGACTCCGGATTCTCAGGGAAATAGCGCTATAGAGGATTTTTTTTTTTTGTGCTTTCCTTCTCTCCAAGCAGTTTGTTTTCTCGGCTCTCTTGTCTGCACCGCATGCCGCCGCCGAACTGCGATATTGTCTCAGAAAGGTGAGTCCGATGAGGATAATCATGAAGAAGACCTACTTTTACGTGGATGTCATTTTCTTTGCACTGGAAAGGGGGAACCAAACCTCCAAAAGGCTGGTGTTTTATTGCTTTTAAACCCCATCATCACGACGAGAGGAGAGAGAGAGAGAGTGTATGTGTAGGGGGGGAATTACAGTATCTGGCTGGAGCCTGGTGAATTTACCTTCTGGATGGAGTGAAGTTTCCAATAAGCAAAGGCGACTATCTGTAATCTGTTCTAACCCTCTCTGTGTGCTGGGGTTCCTGGCTTCACACATCAAGCAATTTCAACGCGGTGAGTTTGCTCTATGGCTTCATATGCATCACTATTGTCACTGCATTTCACACTGATCTGCCGAGACGCGTCGCTCTAAATGCAAAAATCTAAATGCCACAAAGAGGAATATTTACCTTCAGATGTATTTTTTAAATGTCAGGATCGTGTGCCTGTGCGTGTGTGTGTGTGTGTGTGTGTTCCCCCTCCAAATGCGTTTTGGATTAAATCGTTGCGCATTCAACAATGTTTCGGTACATTTGCATGTTGCACGGTTGGTTTAGTAAGAGCAGGTTTCTGTGAATCCAGCACCCGGGAAGTCATTTGTGTGATTATTGGATTCAAAGAGGGGAGGATTTGCAACAGACTGAAGCTACCTGTTGTCGCTTGGTCCCTCTCATAAAGTTTTAAATTGTAATATCTAATGGGTTGGGTTTTTAAGGAACACTGTGAGGGAGCCCACTCCACCCACTTCACATAATACATCTTATAACCCTTTTCCTCTGTTGTTGGACGTCTGGCTGTTGCTGCGATTTTGGAAGAAGAGGATAATTTGCATCTGATGCTGCACCAGCAGCAGCAGCAGCAGCAGCAAAAGCAGCAGCACACTAAAGCACATACAAACCACATGCTTCTTATGTGAACAAAGGTTCTTATTGGCTGTCAGGAATAATGCCATCAGCCTGTTGAATTAGCTGCAATAACGTCTGTCCCTGCAGATGAATTAATAACTACAGAACTGCACCAAACAAAAACATACACACACAGGCCCGAGCAGAAATGGAAAGTAGTGGAGGATGAGGCTTGGGATCAGCAGCCATCATAAAGCCCTAATCTCTCATTGTCTCCCACTGCAGCCTGTTTTCTTACGTGATCATCATGGTGATAATGAAACGCCGGACGCATCTGGAGAGGATACCGGGAGCCTAGGGATGACATCCACAGAATCGTGTTGAATGTGGATGTCAACACCGCGGCGAAGGATGGGCCCTCTCCTCTCGGCCGCCTTCATCCTCCTGCTGGTCCTGCGCGCCGTGTCCGCGGCCACGGTGGGTAACCCCGAGGATTACGCAGCGGACGAGGCGGAACGGACCGCCGGTGACAACATCGTCTTCGATGACTACCGGGGCAAAGGATGCGTGGATGACAGTGGCTTCGTCTACAAACTCGGGGAGCGCTTCTACCCGGGACACTCGAACTGTCCGTGCGTGTGCACGGAGGACGGGCCCGTGTGCGACCAGCCAGAGTGCCCAAAACTGCACCCAAAGTGCACCAAAGTGGAACACAATGGATGCTGCCCCGAGTGCAAAGAGGTTAAAAACTTTTGCGAGTACCGGGGGAAAACGTATAAAATTCTGGAGGAATTCAAGGTAAGCATGTGTTTTAAAAATGATCCAGTCTGATATTTAACAGGAAGTCCAAATGATAAATGTTCCTGTCCAGTACACACCTTGCTTGTCTAATAGGACCATTCATGAATTTTACTGTCTCAGGTTTGTTTGCATTCATCATGCAGATCACATGTGAGCTCCTCTGGGCACTGAGTCAACTGATGCTCATGAGTTGGATCCATGTTGCTAATTTGATTCATTTGGCCACAATCAAAGCCTGTTTAAAGCAACCACTGGGCTACTGAGATGATATTAATCACATGGACACCCCTAACCACACCTCCACCTTCATAATCAGTTGATAAAACAACAGTCAGAGGTGTCACTCTGATAGAAACAGCTGTCTGATAGCAACAAAAGCCCCTTTAAGGAACTATACAGCAAATCAAACATGCTCCTTTCTTTCTTTTCTTTTTTTTTAATCTTGCAACTTGTTGACAGCAATCCTCTGTTGTTTAAAAATGGCAAAAATGCAACAGAACAGCAACACATGCTCGTGAATCGCTGAAGGCTGTCAGGTGATGCTTTGTGTTTGGGGTTTTGATCAGTCCTGTGCATACTGTTAAAAAAAAAAAAAAAGTGTCATCAAAATGTGTTTATTGGCATCGAGCACCAAGATGGCTGCCTCCCACAGTGATGTCATCCCTCCTCCCTGCCTCATCAACTGAACATTCACCCAGCATTACTAAACTGACAGATGCTCTAACAGCATTTTAATACTCAGATTTGTGGACACTGAGTCATCGCTGGCGGATCCAGCTTCCCTGTGTCTCCTGCATGAGGGCTTCTACCCATCAGACCAGTGTCTCAGCAGTTGTTAGGAGCATGACAGTGCCGCCTAATTATAAATGACACTAGGAGCACGACAACTACAGTCTGTGTTTAAACTGTTGCTGCCCATGAGGAAACCTCCTCGTCCGCATTCCCCACAAGGGGACCGAGGCTGCAAGTGAGTGAAATATAGTATGACACGGTATAGCCTAAACAAGGGGTATAGCTCTATGGGTAACATTGGTTCATATCTGTGCAAATACATCTGTAACAGCCAAATGTTATAATCTCCCAGTGGAGAATTCTGAATTAAGAGCATTTGGGTTCGATTGGAGATTGTTTTCCATATCTGCTCTAGATGCATCCTATTTTGGATTTAATGATCACATGTTATGAAATGAGGTTAGAGGTAGGAAGCCCACATCCAGCAGTGAGTTCAATATTTACAAAGAGAGAAAAAAAAACTAGTTATGAGATGACATGACTAATATCCTGGCAATATTTCAAAGCTCCGCAAAAGATACAAAAAACAAAGCCTTACTCCAAAAAGTACAATAAATGGCCTACTTCATTACAACAGATTTCTCAGAAGCTGATTTATGTGGACAGTTTTGTCTTCCGCCCCAGAAACAGCTGTTTAAAAAATTAGAAGCAAAAAACCAAAAATAGCTCCGCGAGTAATGGGCTCCCTAATCAGGGAAATCGCAGAAAGGTTTTATGTGAACATGTCAGTGATGGAGAACATTTTTCAATCATCGAAGCCCTATTTTGTGCAGCCAACTTGAAAGGATACATGTCTCCTACCAGACCAATGCAAGGGATGCAGACATTGTTAGCTACCCTTTTAAAGAAACTCCAGAGCTAAATAATACATGGAAACAAACCCAATTCAAGAATAGCCAGCGTTGTAAATGGCATAGTGTGTTAGCAGAGTGTGCTGCAGTATTGGCCACAACTGTAGGGACACCAGACAATGCAAAGGCTTGACTGAAACAGAAACGTGGTGTCACATCTGCTCAGGAAACTTCAGATTCACAAATGCCTTCATCTGCAATGCGATTAACATCTGCACAAACCTCAAGCAACAAGTCTGATTAGGTTACATCATATAAGCCTTCTTCTGAATTATTGAAACACAAACATTTTAAGCTGTCAACGATATGTACGACTCAAAGCGCTGCAGCTGTTAAGCACTAAAACGCTTTGCAAGAGACTACACTAGATTAAAATATTAAATATTTCACGTATCAGACACGACAGTCAGTTTGTCGTGTTTTTGGCCACTTGGAGGAAATGAAGGAAGCTGTCGACACAACATGGATTATCACCTTATGAAGTCATTAATCTGTGATAATTCTCCGTGCATGTCACTTTAAGTAACCCTCTTTACATTGCACAAAGCTATCTGACCCGTTGTTCATATAAAATAGTGATGATAATTGCGGTTTAAATAACAGCCACTCGTTTAAGAGGAACAGTTGTCTGACTCACCGGTTGTCTGTCATATCACGGGGTTTGTCCTCCACTCCTGCTATCTCGTGTCACAAATCTCCTTCATGATGGGAAACAACTCCAGGCATCCTACCACACTGAAAATTTCAAGTTTTGCAGAGAATATTTATCATGTATAAGCCATTTTAACAACGGTGCTTGCCTCCCTGCATGCAAATGTGCCACTAAAACAACTCCCACGTCACTCTTTTTAGGCTAGGCTGTTGCTCCGTCCTTTGCTCAGCTCAGCCCAATACGATTGCAATTAGCTTAAAGACACAGAACAAGTCAGAATGATAATGAGGTGCAGTCAGACCATTCTATGCTGCAGGATTGTCTGGCTGTGCCAAACTAGAAGAACACGAATCAGGACAGCCTGTGTCGAAGGCAAACAATGCCTATTCACAAACTTGTGAATTGTGCAGAGTAGTTGCATGTGAATGTGGGTCATCTGCAGTAAAATTTAAGTGTGAATCTAAACAAAACAATTGACTGCAGAGTTAAAAAAGTAAACATATCCAATTTTAGGATCAACTATTCCTCAGTTACTCCAACTAATGTTGAGTAACCCAACATAAAGAGACTTTCCTCCAATAAATATAAAACTATTCCATAAATGCAAGCAGCTTCTAACATATTATCTTACTTGTTACCCATAGTTAGGTTTCATTATGACAGCGACCTCTAGTGCCCTTTGTAGTCATGATAAGACGGCATAATAATAAAGCTTTACATAAAGATCTTTGCCATCATAACCTGAATAAGCCAAACAATGTAACTCTAATCATCTCGTCTTCCTCATCTGTCATGAAAAGCTCCAGCAGAAAGTCTTGCAACCTGTAGCATTTTCAGCTTCATGATTCTATCAATGTGAAGCCAAGAAACCTCTGGTCCCGTTGGAGTATTGTGCACCTGTGACTATTAGCATGCCCTGAGAAACAAATCGAAACAGGCAGTGAGTTAAGCCAAATAGGTGGGTGGACAAGAGTCATTATTTAATATTCTGCCACATATTATCTGTGAAAATGCAGTTTTTTTTAAGAAATCCGACAAAATCGCAAGAACCAAAAATTGATAAAAACATCTCCATAGTTCATCCGTCAGTTGATAACGTTTAACCTTTTTTACTATCTTCATCTTCATCAGATAGACAGAGAGGTATTGCGCTGAGCTTTTTTGATTGCTGAGGATTTTTATGCCTCTAGGAAGGAACATTCCTGAAACAATTCATTAGCTGATTAGTCAATCACCATAAAAACGAATAAACAATTTAGACAATTTGTTCCCTAATGCTCTGGGAGAATGCGGATGGCAATTTTTTGCTGACGCTTAACTAAAACGATTAGACAATTAATCAAAAAAATAATGTCAAAAAAAAAAAAAACTGATCATGAGAGTAATTGTTCGCTACAGCCCTGCTTTATGCACATCAGCTCCAAAGTGACATGATGCTGCCATTAATAAGGGGTGTGTGGGATCAGCCCGTTCAAAACCTATGTACTTAATCTGCGCTGATTGGTGTGTTTGCACGTCAGACAGAATCAAGCTCAGTCCTGCATTGGGATGCAAGCCCACAGATTGCATAAGCCTCGCAATTTGATGTGAGATCAAGTCCATCAATAGTGCAGCTCACCCCCATGCTAACCTTGATTGGAGGGCCTGAGGAGGACGGAGCATTTTTACATGTTTAAGGGAGAGAAAAAATAACTGTTTTTATTACAATAAAAACGGCAAACCAGAAATAAGGAGAGAAGAAATCTGAGAATTTGCCTTGCTCTATAACTGCACAAGTCAGTGTAATGTCATCGTCTACTCTGGGAACGTTGGGTCTCTTAAATGAGAACGTGAAAGCCTCGGAACCCCGCGGTGTTCAAGGAAATCAAAGGCCGTCAGTATCCGCCATGCAGAGCCCTGTTTAGAGATGCCGACAGGTTAACCTTTGGTGTGGGCCTCATTGGCATTTCCTTTGCAGTGATTGTGTTGCATTGTGCAGACGTTTGCATTTATATTCAGTAGGAGATGATGGAGCAGAAGCACAGAGACACAGCATTACCGAGCGGTAGCCAGAAAGATGTGGCCTGTTGAGAGAAGCTCGGACGCTTATGAAGAATTGTTTTATACACTGTAAGCAGCTCGGCATCAAAAAAACACTCGCCGGTTTGTTTACGCTAAAAATCCCGTCATGCAGCAGGCCAGTCATTACGTGTCTCATTAGCAGAATATACAGTCATTATCATGCAGGTAGTGTTGGGCATTCATTCAGTGGAACGGCAGCCTGTCATCTGTTGAATCTAATGCAGGTAGAACTCATGCATCAGCAACCTGATAAACAAGTCCACGCCATATTTTCCAAACCAACTTTAAGAGTATTCACTTTTAACATATAATGTTGATGAAGGCTCAGCAAGAGTAGATGCAGTGTTTTGTTTTGTTGCCCTGTAAAGCAAGTCCTGCCACTCAACCTTAGTAGGTGTTTCACCTACAGGGTTTCCCATCAGATGAGGAAGGGACCAGTCCACCCAGCATGGCTGCCGGTGTGCCTCTGGCCTCAGCGCAGCTGCAATCAAGAACCAGGAGATATAGGGTGAGTTCAGATCCCAGATCTTCAGGCAAGGGCTGGGATGTGAACTCAAATGTGAACAATCCCGTCCATGCTTCCTGCGATCCCCCCTAGGGACGGGATGCAGAGTTGAAAAAGGTGGGAGGGCTCCAACGTTTTCAGTGATTAAGGTACACACAGTAGATTTTAATCACCAGACTATCTTAAATAATTTCTCATTTAGAGGCAAGTAATGTGAAGTGATTAATCTGCAAGTGGTACAATAGTTAAACATGCAGCCCTAATGCTTAATTTCTATTCACCATTCCTCATGACCCAGCCACCAGTTCTCCCAGTACAGTGCAGTGAAGCCCAAGGTTGAAACTTCATAGACACATTGGTTTTTACCAGTCTGCACCTGTAATCAGCACAGACGATGGAAAAAGCTGCATCTCCAAACTTCTACAGTAAAGGTCTTTGCAGACAATGATTTACTGTAATTATAGAAACACACTGTGAAGGAACATGTTCAGGCGACAACAACAAAACATTTCAAACAGCATGCGCAGACAGTGAGATGCCCACACATCACACACACACCAGTCGTTAGTGACACTGCTTTCCAACATACCAATGAGAGAAAAACAGCTACAAGAGCTGCAGAAATGATTGCCCAAATTGATTTTCCCATCCAATTTGCCACAGGCAACAATGGTCCCAATTAGAAGGAATGGTTAAGTGCAAACAATTTGGCCAGAAAGAATTTTCAAACACATTTTTATGGTTTGAGTTTAATTGCACTTGCAGTCCTGCTGGACAAATGTCAAGAGTGCTTCAGCTACCGACCCACCACCCTCGCTTCCCCCTCACCCATCCACCCATCCACCCATCCTCGGTCTTGCCTCCTCTCTCTGTATTCCCCAACCGCTGGTCAAATGTTGTTTTGACTTGAACAACAGCAGCATGCAGTTTGACTGTCAACTCTTTCCTGCTACTCCTATTAACCGCATGGATGAGTTTCCTGTGACCCTGTTGTCCAGCCTGAAAGTATTCTGCATTACCATTTGCCCCGCTGAAGGTTATTTGACTATTCATTGCTTCCCTGCCCCGTCTTCATTTGTCTCAGTGTTGGAATGAAAAGGCATGACAGTCGATTCACTCTAACACCCCGCCAATAAGACGGGGACAACACGAGTCTTTCCGTCGCTAAAACATCTGGCAGCACGTCTAAATTCAGTGCTAGTGCTCCATTTTCTTTTGTGAGTCGGGGCTAAGGCATGACTGATCCTCTTCACGGTAGACCTCACACAAAGGAACGCACTGAAAGCACCAGGCGCAGCTGAATGCACCCAAGGATCCTCTGCGATGTGTCATAGGTGCATGGAGTAGTTTTCTTTTCAAATTGCATTTTTAATATACTTCTTCCTATGAAGCGAGCGAACCGGCAGACTTCTACCTGAGCCGCCTCACAGGTCAATCTGGCAGCTTAACCTACAGAGAAATGCCACTTCTGCTTTGAAATTATGCGGGGTTTTTTTTTTTAAAGGCCAGATGTGATAGTGAATAAACACCACTGTCTCTCATGGTCCTACTTCTTTTATTTGTACTTTATTAAAAAACAAAATGGATAAAGTGGTGCAGGTGAAATCAATACTTTTGGAAAAGACAGAATTTAGTGTGTCAAGAAGCCAGTTTTCTGCTTTTGTTAGCTAAAACAAAGAAGAGTCAGAAGATAAAAATACACTTCCAGCCTTGTTGATTGTCGGTAACATTTTCAGGAATATCGACTGCATCACATACATGTTTGTGCATTGTGTGTGTGTGTGTTTTGCCGCTAATGAGCCGTTTCAGATGAGCTGACCGTCTGCACAGAGGTTTGGTTAAGGAGAGGAATGGTACGTTGTTTATCTGTTGCGTCATTTTAACCAAATGTGGGTTTCTCTGCTTCAGGTAGCTCCTCCTCTGGGCTCTGGAGATATTTCAGCATTTAAGAACGAGCCCCGTTTTGTCCTCTCTGTTTCAGTTTCTGCATCTTATCAGCAAAGGATTCCAGAAACAACGCATTTTATCAGACTTATCTCGCTAAACTTCACTTTTTTTCTCACTTTAGCGTGCGACTCGGCTCGTTTCGCTGACCAGCTACCGCCTGTCGTGAGCCGAGGAGGCACGAGCTTACATGAGAGACGTTGTTTGGAAACCGAGATAAGGTGTTTAGGCATCACAATGGCCTTCCCCCCCAAGGATTATCCGGTGCCACCAAACAATTTGTCACTGTGAAATAAAGGATTTTCTCCAAAGTTCCTCCCTGCAGGTTTCTCTGTCGTGCTGCGCTGCAAACATGAGTCGGTTTACAGTCCAAGTGTTTGGCATGAGCTGACATTAACGCACTGTTAATATCTGAACTGAACGGTAAATCCAGTTAACATGTGTAGTTTGTATGCACTGGGAGGGAAATTAAGGTGATAAACAACTCTGATCCACTGTCAAAGGAAGAGCCATTTGTTCTGTCTTTAAATGCCAAGTAAAATAAAATCAAAGAAAAATACCCTCGGACACCTCTTCACTGAAAAAAATATAGAGGAAGCCTTCAAATCCTCATGTTTACTAATGTCCTCATGTTTAAGGCTTTAATGTCAGTTATGCAAACCACAAAAAAAAGACTATCCGGGGAGACGAGAGCCTCAGTTTCTATAAAATGCAAATTATTGTCATTTGGATTTTGTAGGCTACATTAAGTTTTAGTACCTGATAATACAAAGAAATATATTGTGCTCACAAAAAGGCACGCTGGAAAAAAAAAAAAATGCAAGCAAAACAAACCGAGCAGTTTGTCTCCGCTTTCAGCAAAGTCTGAGCTTATAGTCGGTTTGTGGCTCAGTAGCCCAAGGTGTCCATAGCACCGGGTCAACAGTTCTCGTTGGCCTTGTTTATGGTGTTTCTTTTGCTTTTATTTTTATATATATATATGACATGTGCTCCTCTGTGCCCTCAAACATTGAGCATCAGTTTATTCATGCATGTGTGTTTTGTCAACTGATTTCCTCTCTGCTTTACAGGGACTCGTGAATAGTTTTTCGAACAGTCTTGCATCTCTTTAAACAGCTCATTATGGCAGCCCACCGAGGGTTTAATTCCCTGATGAGACACGTTAATTATTACCTGACGTAATCTTGATTCAACCTGGGTTTCTTTGGCTGCCGGCGTCAAAGTAAAATTGCACTGAAACTGTAAATGTAATGAAGCTACACGTGCTACAAATATCACTATTTTAAGGGTAACTGCTCTGTCGTTGGTTCGGCTCTGCCCAAAACTAATGTGATTGGTTTAAAAAGAAATACAAACAAAGCATTCTGCAGCGGCATCCTGTGCTGCGGGATGGTTCGGCTATGTGGGACTAAGGTGGTGTTGACAGAAGGCGGCGAGAAAACCTACAATAATCAAAGGCTGCTGGGAAGTCTAGAAAAAAAAAAAAGTCCTGCAAAGAATAGTCCAACAAGATAAATCCTAAGACACATGAAAGAACCAAGAGAAGACCAGAAGGTCGAGGGACATAGGGGAGAAACACAGGTGTAGGGAGTCAACGCAGAGCCAAGGCGGCAAAGCAGATGACCTAACAACGGAAACACATGAACTAAATACACAAGGGGACAGTTAGAGAGGAGGAGACGTGCACCAAACGCCATGACAACATGAGCTTCGAATGCTGAATCACTCCTCCCAGTGTGTTTGCAATAAAGGCAGAGGAAGAGTTCATTTGCAAAAACAGATAACTCCATCGTCACAGACCTTCAGAAAACCCACTTCTCCATCGTCTACCTGAGACAACATCAATCAAACTTAAGTTAGCGCAATTGTTGTCATTTCTACTGAGTCAAATCCACTCGACTTCAGTTTGACTGATTTCATCTCAAGCAAACAACAAAAAAATACGTTTTCTGAGCTCTAAGTTGTCTGTTTTTTGCAAATGAACTCTTCATATGACGTTATGTCTCTTTGTTAATATAGAAAGAAGCTGCATATTTCATGGCCTGATTGTAAATATGTACAGGATAAATGAGTGTTTTTAAATGTGCAACTTGATTTGCCAGGACTAAATGCCGACATATGGCATCGCCGGCTGCACCCAAAGCAGGTTAACTGAATCCCAGCTTGAACCATAGTTTTCATCGTAACATGCCATTGGAATATATTTGCAGTCTTCTTTTTGTATTTCTTACTGTGAGAATTTGATATACTTGTTAGTTAACTTTTAAAAAAATATTTATGAGACTCTCTGTGTAACTAATTGCATTTGCATGGTGGGCTACATTACAGATAATTATAGTCTTACTTCAATCAGGCTAAATTGTAATCCTACCAGATCATTTTCTGGCACACCTGTGATCAAATTTTCTGTCGCAAACAAGGAAAGCGAAATAATTGTTGGACATTTTGGATACAGTTAAATGCTTAATTTCAGTATTGATTTTGGACCCGTTCCACGTAGGTTCGGATGCAGTAAGTACAGCCGAGGAAATGGGTTACATTTGCTTCACTTTGTACTGTTTCCCTTCATTTCCTACTGTCGCTCGCATTCAATTTCGTAGCTACAGTTGCATCCAGACTGCTATAAATCCCAATAAAAACACGAGCCTGACCACTTCTCTCTGTGCGCCACTTAATGCATCCTGGCAAAATGGGCTGATAGAAGTCACATTGAATCATCCGGCGTTACCGTAACCCTCTCACTTAACTCTACACAAAACCGGATTATGAACTGTAAAGCCGATGCTGTGTTGTGGCTACAATTCCAATTGTGGCAATATTACTGGAACTAATGCAGCCGGGATAGTTGATGGCTTGACGCCAAAAAGCAAAAAAAAATAAAAAATCATTAATTCCGACTAACATCCAGCAGGAATCGTTTAACAGATTGGGGGAAATAGACTTTTTTTGCCAAGAGAATTAATAGGAGCCACATCTGGTTAGCTTAACTTAGCATGATGGGAGAAACATTCACCGGATTTAAAGAAGAAAAACTTCAATAACGTGCAGCATAATCAAGTTTCAATTGTGCCGACTGGCTATGACGTGCCCTATACCTACAAGCCCCTTGAGCTTCCATCAGTTACCAAGCAACTAAACAAGCAGGATATAATGTGTTAATTAGCGAGCTTTAGAGACGCTGGTAGACCTTTGAATAGATCAAGGCGATTTCCACTTGAATGTAAACAGTCCAGCCCAGTACCTAGCAAACAAATAATAAAAAAAAAAGAGTTCATCTGAAACATTTCTACCCTCTGATGTCGGCACAGAGCACTGAGTCACCGACCCCACGCAAAAAAAAAAAAAAAAGCTGTTTACTATGATGAGCAGAAAGAAAATCTAATATGATGAACAGCTGACCTTTTGTGATTTGGAAACAGTTTGTATTTTTCCACTCCATGTAATTGCATTACAGTTCATTTTCCGGTCAAGAGACTTTGTAAAGATAGAGTCAAGTAAGAGGCAGCGGCACAGAGAGGAGCTGCATAGCGCTGATTTACATGTTGCAGAGGTGGTGAGATAAGCCTCTGAACCGTTTCCTCAGGCAGGCCACAGCAGAATGCAGCAAAACACTAAATATCAACCAGGCCCTCTTTATGGAGTCCCTTATTAGTTATTTCCAGAGGTTTTTATTCAAAGTCAGCTATATAGGCGGCGTTTGTTATGATGCAAATACCCTAATAAAACTGAGGCTGTGAATAATTTATTAACTTGTTTCTTTGTTTATCAGGGCAGCATGAGATGCATATAAAGAGATTGTTGTTGTTGTTGTTTTTTGTACATCAGGAAATGCATACAGGAGCTTCTCGAGGGTTCACATGTACCCGCTGAATCATCTAACCCTGATTCCCCTCCCTGTCTCCCCCTCCTGCCTCCCCTCTGCCCACAGCCGTCACCCTGTGAATGGTGCCGCTGCGAACCAAATAATGAGGTGCACTGTGTGGTGTCCGACTGCGCCGTCCCAGAGTGTGTCAACCCTGTGTACGAGCCGGAGCAATGCTGCCCCATCTGTAAAAACGGTAAACACTGGTGTCTCTCTCTCTGGTATTCGACGCACATTCCTCAGAAGTTATTAAATTTTAATTAAACCAATGACAGCGAAGTTTATCTGCGGTATCGCCGTTTGATGGCCGCACCTTTAGAAGATGAGGATGTAATTGATGTTTTATGAATTAAAATTATTACCTTGGGCCCGTTGGACGCTAATGAGCAGTACTAGTTTTAATTATAAATGACACACTAAGCAGCGTAAACATTAGCCCATTGATTAAAGGCATGGTAGGAGGGACTAATGGGTCCTGGGAGAGCCTTTTATCTCCCGGTGCCCTGACGCCCTTGTCACACACAGCCAATCCCTAAATTAGAATTATAGGATTCCGATGGTTCATTGACTATTTACAAGGCGAGGTGGGAGATTTCCCTTTGCCAGCACCAATCCTAAGGGACAGATGGAGCTTTATGAGTAAAGTACAGTAACTGCACATTTGCTACGTGAACCTGGCTGGAGTGATCAACAGCGAAGAGGGCCTGTGGGTAATATCAAATTCATGGTCTAAACACGATGTTGCTAAACAAAAGATTTTCTTTTTTTTTTTCTGTTTTTCTGATCACGAACAAAATGCAATCTCATGATGTTGTCTCATCGTGTAGCTCAGAACATCAAAAATGTCCCATTTTGAAGGGAAGAACAAATGTCTTGGAATATTTTCTTTTTTTTTTTAGATTTTCTTTCAAGCAGCAGCTGACCTATAAATACAAAGAGAGCAATTCCGTTTGAGGCAGATGCTAAATGGCCATTTCACCACAACTACCCGCAATTTCTTTCACACCTCCTCCTCTCTCTTTTTTTTTTTTTTTTTCCCTTTATCACCATTGCTGGCTTTCTTTCATTACGCCACACACATACACGCACAGAAACACCCACAGTAACAAGGCTGCAGAAGCTGCTAGGAAAGAACTAATCCAGGCTGACAGGACACAGTGACACCCTTGGCATTTCAGGGTAGGCCTGTTGTTTCTGTGTTCCCCAAGGGTGGCTGGTCAGGCTCTGGCAGCCAGATAAATCTCTATGGGAGTGGATGGCTGAGGGCTGTGGGGAGAGGACAATGAAGGAATGCTGTTTAGCTCTCATTTCTGGCCAAGGGACAGGGGATTGTGAAAAGAAGACGTCTAAATGTGCTCCACTCAGACATGCAGTCAGTGGGAGACATACATTTGTCTTTTTCTTTACCTGCTACAAGTTTCCCATAATTGAATCGTTGTATTCAGGGACAAAAAAAAGAGGGGAGATGGGGTGCATGTATTGTAAAAAAGACCAAAGCACAGCAAATGTCAATTGTACACGTTGTACACATTCTGTGTATTTGTAGTTTAAGGGATGCACTACTACAAACAGAGAAGTCTAGAGGTCATCAGTCTGTAATCCAGAGAAAACCTTGATTGCCATTGGGGCTTATGGCATGTACGATTCATCAGTAATACCAGAAAATAAATAGAAATCTTATTTACAGACTAAATAGCAGTGGGCCTACTATATATCCATGAGGAACACCTTTGTCTGTCATCTATTGCACCTATTGGTATCCACAGAATGCAGCTTGTTACAGTCAACAAAATCAAAATGATCAAACTGTCAGACAAAAGTGCATCATTTTAATTTAAATACTACTATTATGTTTAATCGGATGAGCTGACTGTATCAGCAGCTGTAGCAGTTATTGCGTCACGAGACTGACGGGTCGTACGAGCCGGTCGTGAATGTTGTGGCTGAAGGACGTTATTATCCTCCAGGAAGCCAGCAGTGAGTTGACAAGTGAGTCGGGGATTTCACACCAACAGGGCTGCTTGGATATAATGCGATAGATGTTAAGGTCACCACCTTTATGCAATGTGAGCGCCTAAGCAGTCGTACATATCGAAGGGATTTTGCCTGAAGTGAAATTTAATGTTAATACATGCACGAATGACGCGGTAATAAGAGGAGCATGATGTCGAGTTTTTCTGGTGTATAATACGTTATATACCTTTGAGCACTTGACAGGTCTGAGTGAAATGTTTGTGTTTAGAATAACACTGTGACCCGATTTTATTTTTCTATTTTGGCTGAGAGTCCACAGCCATGCTCGTGGCTCTGCGAGCTTGAGCTAAACACAAAGTATGTTGACATGCGCGCAACAGCAATATTTACATGCTGAGATTTAGAGGGTGCAATGTTTACCATCTCCACCATCTCAGATTAGATGGTAGAATACAAACATGTACTAATTAGCGCTGAACACAAAGGCACGGACGAGGCTGACAGGTCAAATGAACAGGTCTATTATCTGCCTGCTGTGGCTGAAGGACATCATTGTCCTCCAGGACGCCGCGGCGGAGTGAGCTGATTAATGGTTTCGGGGATTTTGGACAGCCGGGACAGGTTGGCTATAGGTCGACGGTTGTTAAGGTCACAGATGTCACTACTCTGAGGGAAAGGACGCACCTGAGCGGTCTGAAAATTTTATAAATATATGTTGCAGTGATGGCATGAACACGGATCTGTTGGTCAAATTATCATCACTGGGAGGCAATCAATGTAATATATACCTTTTGGTATATGGCAGGTCTGCATGGATGAATTTAGAATTAGAAGGCAGACAGCTGTATGATGCTGGAGTGTTACTTCTGACGTGTTGCAGTCACTATTACTGGGCCCCATTTCCCCTTTAGTTACTGTGGGAGCAGTGCAAAGAGATTCTTATTTAAGGATTTTACCAACTTCCAAAATGCAAGTCCATCACCTCTAGATAATCTGTTGACCAGCTGATGTTGGGAAACACCAACATCACAGTCAGTACCTCATTAGGCTTTTTACTGTTACTGCTTTCATTTTTAGTCAGACGCTAAAGTAAGCATGCTAATGTGTACACAAAGCCTAGTTATTTCTGATGAAAGTTTCAATTTAACCCAATCCTGAAAAACCAGGACTCCATTAAATGCAAAAAAACAAACGGCAGAAGGAAGGAGAACCCGGAACCCACAGTAAAAACATTCCCTTTTAACTGTGAGGAGAAAAAAAAACAAGGATGCCTGAAAATATTTTGCTTTCAAAAACATGAGGTCTGTTGTGTATCAGAATGTTTCCTTCACACTGCAGCGGTTTGGGCTCGTTGCAGATATCAGCTGAAGTCCTGTTCCAAAGTTTGTTGTAGTGGCTTGTTTATTGGTATTCCAGTGTACAGATAGAGTGAGCTCACAGATACAGGGAGTGATTCTGGAGGAGTAAGCCAACCCAGAGCGCTGGGGGGGGAATAGCAATTAATCAGATGATGAAAGGCAGGGGACAGTAAATACAGTAAGGATCAGTGACTGGTTGGAGTCTAAGCGCTCAGGTCTGGCGGAGACGGTTTACGACGAACAACAATAATGGAATCGAGGGATTTAACAGACATGGGGTGTCTGAATGAGTGACAAGATCAAAAAGTCACAACACTAGTGGGTGGGGGACTATGAAATATTAAACAGAAACTTCTTTTTTTTTTACTGTTCTTGTAGTTATATTGTTATATAATTTTTTTGGGTGGGAAAACCCGTGTCCACAACTCAGCTTCAGATGACCAACAGCTGCAAAACCAGCATCTCAGACAAAAAGCAAATGGGCATATCAGCATATTCCCCCTCCTTTTGATTACATCTAGAAAGACTCTGTACACGAAAGCCAGCAAAACATGTTCCAGCCAAAACAACAGCAGTGTAACGTACGTTAAACAGCCCGTAGCAAGCTGTTGTCAACTCAAGTAACGTTTACATCATCTGTCGGTCCTTGCCTTTGCTCGTCTCTGCTCCGCTCTGTGTGTGTCGGTTTTAACGGCCTGTCGGACTGGAGCAGGCGATACGTCCACTCAGAGAAAGACCAGAGCAGGAATGGGTTGGAGACCTGAGTGGGTAAACAGACAAAGAGCAGAGTGAAACAGATGTATGAGGAGAGGGGAGCAGAGGAGAACAGCAAAACAGCAGAATAGACTCTAACACTGAGCTGAGTGCACATACATTATTAGAACACTTAGTTTTTACATTTGTTACATGATTTTTAGGGCACTGGTTAGACTGCATGTTTGCAGCGTGAGAGGTCATAGTTTCAGTTTCAAAGGGAGGGACTCACATGTATTGATATGTGCTAACAGACCAGATACTTCAGATAGAACGTTACAGAATGTGGTTGAAAAACACGTATATATAGCATCGCCCATAAAGTTGGAATATTTTTTTTTTATCAGACATATTTCTCTTTGTGTAGAAATAAGGTGCCCAGTTACCCAACAGTGAAACAAATTCTGACTTCTAGATCTGACCCAGAGTGGGACATCCTGCCCATTGACACCATCAACCAGCGTGTAGACAGAATGCCACGATGTCTTAACACATTGATCTGTGTCAGGGGTCAATATTAGTGACATTTGAAAGAGTAATATGGGACATTCATGTGCATGGAATCCCCTCAAATATGTGTTTCCTGTTAAAGGGGCCAAGGTTGAATAATTGGGAGGAAAAAAAACAAAAACTTAATTTTATTGTTGAATATCCCCAATTTAAGCCTAAATTCACAGGTTGCAAAAGTTAATTGTGGTTAAATTGTTACTGTGATGTGTATGGTAGGTATATTGTGATATCAATAAAGTTTTGAGAAGATACACACTTTTTCTATCAAGAATAAATGACATTGTCACAATCATTCCATGAGAAGAGGTAAAAAAAAAGAAATTATTCCAACTTTATGGGCAACAGTATGTCATATAGATATATATATACACACACTAGCATGCACACTTGTGGCCAGACTAGCTGTCAAACCACAGAAAGTTAGTACAACACACTCTGAGGACGTGTAAGCTCATTCTCTGCTCTAGACGCCGTCACTCCACCGTACCTTTACATAACAGGCAGCTGCTTCCTAAACTTCTGCTACATTCAGAATCTTGCGTATTGCACCTTTAAAAAAAAAAAAAGTTTTAGGGTCGTTTAATTTTTTAAAACTAATCCCAATTGTCTCGGTCCAATCTTAATTGCTAACGGTTGAAACGTTAATGATGATTTTTTTTTGACTAATTAGCTCCAATTAATCACTGATTTGGTGATTTGGAGGATAAATGGACACCTACTTGGGACAAATTGTTGCTTAATGTGGTTGAATAGTGAAGAATTTTAACAGGATTAAATATTATTAGATTTCAATATCCTAATTATATTTTAACATCGAAAAATGTTTCAACTAAACAGAGGCTGGTTGTGACCTTATTGTGAGGATGTCTTATCACTGTGGTTGCCAGTCTTTTGTCACAGCTGTGCATTATAAGAACGTAGCGTCTCTTTCTTGGTGTTTCTCCCTGAAAACACCAACAGAGAGCGGAAGGCAGGCAGCACAATGGAGCAGTCATGCAGCGGGAGCGCTTATCTCTGAGCTCCACATTCATTCAGTCCGACTGATTCAGCTCTAATCTTTATCATGAATTATATAGTGTAAATTCATCAGGGAGTATGCAATTACATCATTCTCATGAAGTAAATGATAATGAGTAGTAGCCTGAAAATGGCGAGTGTTTCCTCGGTATAATAGGATTAATCCATTTATAGATCTGCCATGCCTTATCTGTCTGAAGGCTGTCATTGTGGCTTTTTTTAACAGACATATCATGGAGCAGCAGAGCTGGTTACAGCACTGTACCGTATTCAGTTTGTCATTTTCTTTGGAGCTGAGTCAGTTTCCATACAGGACAAATACTTTCTGACTTCACTAAATTTTATCGGCCGTAAATTCATCGCGGGCTCGGACGAGGGATCGCCCGTCCTTCGCATGGTGACAGGAAGCTAAAACTGTGTCCCGGCGTCTCCAAATCTATCTGGCAATAAACAATCACACTTGGCAGCGGCGACGGTCACCCTCTTTCCTCATCAACCTCTACCGAGTTTGTCCCGTAACCTGTGCCAGCTGTCCAGAGGCAGATCAATGAGAGTTAAGACTTGGCAGGAGCTCTCAATGTCTCCTCTAAGCTCAGATCAAAGGGCTTTTATCAGGTCCAAATAAAGCGTAGGACTCATCTATGCTGAAGCAAAGGATGGGGGATACCAGGTAGCCAACAGCTCCCTTTGTCAGTGTCACGCGGATATTTATGGCCTCCCGCGGCTAATTTTCGCCCCATAAGCGCTGCAGGAAATTGAACCCCTTAAAAGACTGAGGCCACAGCTTGTAAAAATATTGGTGGTCATCGGAGAGCCGTGTTTGCCCATCGTTAGGCTATTAAAACATTCTGTTAAGCTTAGGCAAAAGTGGTGTTCTTGGTTAAACACTGGAAAAGTCAGTGTGCCCTGTATTCTGCTGTGAGTCAGGGACTTAAATATTTAACCAGGATCGTGATCTTTATCTAACCTTAATCAAGTGCTGTGAGCTGCGGAAACATTACCACAGAAACATTAACAAGGTTTTTTCATGGGAGAAACAGGTGCTACTAACACCGCCTATGATGGCTCTGCTGAATTCAAGAGTCCCTGAAAGCCGTGGCAGTAAGACAGTGAGTCAGCAAGCACAAAACCAGGACCCTGAAACTGGAGTTCTGTCATTATTTATTTGATTAATTATAACCTGCTGTGTCAGTTTCTTTCTTGTGTTTAATTTGGGAAGCTCTGCGCATCTGGATTCATCCAGCCAGTGCAGGAAAACGTCCCCTCTGTAGCTTCTCAGGTTGACTAACCGGACTGCTTTAGCATTAAGTTAGCCCGTCCTAAATCAAACTGACTGGGACACTAAGACGTCCGTGAATATTAGCCGTGAAAGCTACTGTGTCTCCAAGACTTATGGGACATATGAGTTTTTACGACTGCTCGTAGAGGAGTCTTGAATCTGGCAGGTTTGACAGCGCTCGAATATACCGAGAGCGAGCCAAAGTCACCGTCACGCCAATTGAGCCGCTGATTGCTTCATTTAAATCATTAAAACTGGGGTGAATTCGCAGCACCTTCTGCCTCCTCCGTCTCAAGAGGTTGAGGAAGAGATAAACTGCCTCAAATCTCCCTGAGGCAAAGAGAAACAAATTAGATATCATAATTTCAGGTGGTATTTACCAGTAACGGCGCTGCATTCTCATAACATTTTTTTTTTTTTTTTGGCTTCCTGGAAGAACATTTAGCCGGGTTAGTCTATCTCTACATTTATCAAACAAATGGGTGTGAGGTGTTTCACTGGTACACAACATGTATTAAAGGAATCTCACCAACAGAAAGGCATCGTCAAAGTAAATCCTACAGTGTTTTAAGGATAAACCAGATGTCAAAATTAATCTGAGTTCTTTATTGGTTTGGAAGTCAGCGTGTGTGTGCGCGAGGAGAGAAACTGTGTGAGGAATTGCTAAGGAGTTCTGTGGTCTTTTCATACAGACCGAAGTGATTAACACCATCCTCCCTACTGCCTCTCAAAGCAGCTTTCTCTCTCTTCCTCTGTCTCTCTCTGTACTCCAGCCTCTCTGTACTGCCAAGCCAGCGCCTGGCAGGCTTCTCTGCTCGCGGCGCATTAGGATGCAAAGCGCTCCATGTTGAGGGAGAAGGGGAGACTAACAAAAGCGCTTTAGTGTTGCAAAAACAAGCCCATCGGTGCATGCCCGTGAAAAGATCTGTACGTCTGCTCTGACTCCCCTAACTCCCTGCAGCTCTCTGCATCACTCCACCACCCCTCTGCAAAGAGAAGCTCTCAGGAGAGACACATCCATTTGTTGTCGTTCTCATTCCTTCTTTCCTGTCTCTCTCTCTCTCTCCCTCCTTTCCCTCCCTTCCCATGCGGCAGGTCCAAATTGCTTTGCTGGAACAACGATCATCCCAGCCGGAATTGAAGTAAAGGTGGACGACTGCACCATCTGCCGCTGCCACAACGGAGACTGGTGGAAGCCGGCGCAGTGCTTGCGGCGGGAGTGCCTCAACGGCCAGTCGTTGTCATAGAGAGACTCCACCGGGGATGGTGGAAAAGCTCAGGCAAGGCTCTGCCTACTGCGCCATTTTGTATGATTGACAGGGCAGGAGCACAATTACTAAAAAAAAAAAAAACCTGAGACGGCATAGAATCGAAGAGATGCTCTCACAAGCTTCCCACAAATACAAATTTAGCCAGTGAGAAGAAGATGGAACTTGTCTCACGGCTGTTTCCACCCTCCAGTTTTAATCGTCCTATATATTTTCAGAAGTTGACTTGCTTGACTTGCTGCTCTCACACAAAAAGTTTCTAAGCTCCTTGAACTCTTTCCTAACCATTGGCAATGTTGAATTGCTCACGTTGATTTCTGTGTGTACGCCATCGGCTTGTTGTACGTGTCTGTCACAATCACGCAGGTGTTGTAAAGTTCCAATAGCAGGAAAAACAAACCGTAAGCACACTTAACAGCGCTTTTTCTTTTTTTGTGTGTTGTTTTTTTATTTTTATTTTTTGATTGACACCGGTTAAAGCGCCGCACACGTGGGCTTGACTTTCACCACTTCACTCTAAGAGCTTGTTTACAAGATGCACATAACACATAAACGTTTGTCTCTTCGTAAGACTTTTTATTGTTACGGCCGGAGCTCACCTCTAACACTCACATGATGCTACTGTCATATTTTATAAACTGCTATGAAATCCCTCAACACTTTTATTGATCATCACACGGTTCAGAGTCATGTGTCTACATGGTAGCGGCGCAGGCTGGGGGGCTGTAGGAGTACCACCTGTAGCTGAAGAAGGCGAGAAAGACGACAGCCAGAATCTACTCTAAGCCTAAGAAGGGCAGGTGAAAAAAAAAATGCTGCAATGCTTCATCGACAGGAACAACTCTGGGCCACCCTTCCCAGCTCAATTGGCTTTATTGTTTTTTTTTTCTCAGAGGTCCAGATCCTACAAAAATATTCCCACTAACTAACTACTTGAACTTGTTATCAAAGCAATTAGCGAGCCAAGAGCAGCCTGCTTTAATTTTCCTTAATCAAGGAGTATTCTGTGATAAATCATCCAGCTGGGTGCTCGGTGCTGCTGCAGCCTGCATGCTGGGCACATTCAGCGAGAACCAGCAGACAAAAGAAGGGAATCTGCATATGTCTAAATGCTTTTAAGCAGCATTCACAAGCTTATTGTCCGTGTGAGCGTACACAAGCAGGCCATTCATCCACAATCTCAGGCACAGTATGTTGCTCTGCACCCAGTGAGGCACTTAAACCCATAAGGCTTGTTAAGATACAAAGCTGTTACATTATACCACTCCTATAGATTATGTAATAGATTTTCAGTTCCTCCCCTCGCGGATCTGTTAGAATAGCTGAGCCGGTGCGGTGTGTGTGTGTGTGTGTGTGTGTGTGTGTGTGTGTGTGTGTGTGTGTGTGTGTGTGTGACTATGGCCAAGGCTGTGAGATAGAGACAAGTTAATGTATTGCCGTGACATTTTTTCAGGCCAGAGTGGTCCTCAAGTAGCCCGGTCTAAAAGAAAAAGCATCCAGCCAGGGCTCAAAACACGATGTTTTTGAGATGATAAATACTAGTCATTAATTCAAAGGTGAATTTCCGTAAGCTCGTGCCATTCATCACCAGAATTTTTTCCATTTCCAGAAAATCCGCTCCCGTTAACCTTTTAGACCCTATTCCTGGGCGGTGATGGATGGGCTGCTTAATAGCAGCTCCCAGCACTCTGTAATGAGACAGAAATGAACATAGGATAAAGACCAATGACTAAAGAGGTGTATTACCTTAAAAGGCACTAAAACTAATTTTGGAAGAATCTCATAGTCTGCAAAGTCTGCTGCATAGCTGCAGCTCGTGGGCGACGGAGAGAAATCACGGAATTGGAATAATATGGGCCAAGTTCAGGCTTAGGTGCAACAATGGAGTTTGGGTCATTTTCATCATTAAGCTCCAGTGATTTAGTGTCTTTCAGCGTGAAGAGACAGACCTCATCTATCTGGCTTGAGGTCTGCAGGCTCATAAAACAAAAGTGACGTGAATGGTTTATCAGTCACAGCCTCAGTGCTCCAGACATTTTAGAATTATTAAAGGAGCTTCATTCATCTTAATTACTTTAAATGCCACATAATTATTCAGCCTATACATGTATCCAAAAAAAAAAAAAAAAGGAAAAAAAATTGGAATTGCTTTAGTGGGTAGCAACAGAGAAAGACTGAAGCGAGTGTGCCAGTTGACAGGGCTCAAAGGCATTGCTGCCGCCACAGATGCCTTATTGCTACCGTTCCAGATAAGATTCACAAAGCATGGCCTTTGGCGTCATACAGTAGGAACAGCCCAGACTGCTTCAAGTGCTACTTTGGTTCACTTCTTTGTGCAATGGTTTACTGTTATGTGTGTGAGCCAGAACTGTTTATTGTTTTTATCCTACGACATTCCAGAAACAGCCAGCCAGGGTGAAGAGAAGGACGAGTACAGTTCACCGTCCACAGCGAAGATGTAGAATTGAATCCACGGCTGGCCCTAAAATTATGCTGTCATTTGATAGGAGTAAAAGGAGAAGCAACAGCAAGCTAAAGAAACTTGATCCGTATAACAGTGGCTCGTTGTTCTGATAGTTTCCTCCGTCGCTTTCTGAAATGCACAGCATTTAGCAACCTGGGCGAGCCCCGGCTGCCCGTTTTCTCCATTCTTTTTTTTGCAAGCTGCTTTCATCGCCCGAGTGCGAAAGCAGACGCAGAGGGTGAAATGGTTGTCAACCGAAATATGACAACCACTTGGCAGTCGAGACCCAGATCGACTGTCCCTCCACATGCAAGAGCTGAGTCGTGATCCGGGCTGCTTGCGGGAAGCAAACCGCGAGAAATATGACATCAAATAGCAGATTCAAAGTGGGAAGCTCTGTTCCAAGAAAAACATGGAAGATTTTTTTGTGGTTGTTTCGCTGCAGCTAATCAGATGCAGGCATGCAGCAGGACGTGCATATGTCGCTCTGCATTGTAAGCGACTCCTCGGTGAGAAAGAAGCAGGATGGATTTAAAAAACCACATGCATTCACATACAGTAGTTGGTAATGAGAACAGGCTGCCTTTTAGAAACACAAGAGGGTGTTAACGCCGCACACATCCAACATAAATCACTGTGCACATTTCAGAGAGTCTCTGCCCGGGCAAATCGTGGAGGGGGTGAAATTGCTTTTCCCCCTCCTCTTGCAAACACGTGAAGCTGCACAGTTTCAAGGACAGATCAGCCGCACAGTCTGTCTTTGTTCATGTTCTGCCAAGAAACTTGAGTCTTTATGTCTGTCTGTGAATGTCTCTTCAAATGACCCCATCTGTCCTCCGATCATTCAAACCACGAGCTTGTACATGGGCTTTTTTTCCACGAGACACCGACTTACTGTAGCTGGAAACTATGAAAGATTGTTTGTTTGTTTGTTTGTTTTCCCTCCCCTTATGTTGATTTTTTTTTTCTGCAACAAAACTGTTACATAAAGTGTGCCTGAAAACCAACACAGAGTACTATGTGGTAAAGGAAGAGAGAAACACTGTTATTATACAATCAATTGTATTATTTTTCTTGGTGGGGGCACCAAGGGTATGTTCATGTGGGACTCAAATATCATTTCGAATTTGAATTTACGTTTGAGATCGAGAGCATCTTTGATTGTATATGAACTCATGCTCGCACAGGTTCAACCTAAACCGTACAACAAAGGGTCCAAAATTTCAAATGACTAAACAACCCTTGGTGCTCCACATGTTGTTCATATGTAAATATCTTCAAACGTATAATGTGTATTCTGAAATCTGAGGTGGAGTAAAAAAAAAAAAAAAAAAAAAGACATCAGAAGTGAGATGTGTGTTATTCATCGAGACACAACATATTTTGTTTAGAACAGAAGTGTCATTGGGTAAAAGTGAGAGCGGATTTCCCTTTTTTCTTGTAAATTAATTAATCCTTCTTGTTTACTCTGGAGAGCGTTCTTATTTTTGGACACCGGATCACTCGAGGCATCACGAAAACACAACAACAGAAAAGTGTGCAGCGTGAAAAGCACCTGCGTCACTTCAACCGAAGGACGGCACTCCACCAATCTCCTCGAGTTCAGCCACATTCTCTAAAAAACAGAACCAACTCGCCGAACCAGGGCACAGCAAACCTGGAGGTAATGCGGCTATAAACAGAGCATTTCAGTGTAAATAAAAGTACAAAACCTTCCTGACTCATGGTCGCGCCAGAGAAAGAACACTAGTGCTTAATGCTCGCCGGGTTCAAGGGCATTACTCACAGGTTCATCCCTCCATTCCATTTCATTACAAGTCAGTCCGGGCTTCTATCTCGTCCACGCTGCTAATTGCCTTCTCCCACCTCCCGCCGTGGACAAGAAAAGGGAAGCAATTTTATGCAGCACATAGCAATCAATAGCAATTAGGTGCATCCCTGACTAATCCTATTGAAAATGGCATCTTGGGAGATGGCCAGTAGAAGACCTTTAAAAGCACACATACCTGCAAAAGTTTTGCTTTTTCTTCACAGCCAGTGCCAGGGCTGTGACGGAACAATTAATTGCTTTGTTTTCCTATTCTACACTTCATATCGAATTCCCATCAATCCTTTTCAGGACCCACCATCTGCTTTTGTATCAAACAGACATTTTCAATTAGATAATTATCTCTTTGCTGGTAAACCAGTGCACATTATGCTGCGTAATTCCTCTCTAAACCCACTCATTAGATGTCGCAGCCAGCCAACGAATTGATTCCAGAGTGGCACATATATGACACAAAACAAAATGCCAGATGAAGTAGAAGTTTGTGCAACAGATGAAAGCTCTTCAGGCGAGTTGATCAACAGACGGAAGGTTGTTGCATTGGCGGTGAAGTGGATGTTGTACTGGAGGGTTGTGAAGAGGGAGCAAATTGCAATCTAATTTCAGTCAATCTAATTTCCAACCATCACCTTCGGTCATGAGTTTCCTTTACAGGGTAGCTGGGCTCACCCTTTGAGATGGGGGGGGCAGAGAGGTCTGGAGTAGCAGCGCTGCTCCATCACATTAAAAGGTCAGTCAGTTAAAGTGGTTTGGGGCACCTCATTAGGATTATTCCCGGGTGCTTCCCCGTGGAGGTTTTCCAGGCGAGTAAAAAAAAAAACTGAGTGAAGACCCCGGTGCAGACCCAGAACATGTTGGAGGGGATTATATACCACATGCAATCTTTGGCCTGGAAATGCTTTGAGCTTCCCCCAGAAAGAGCTGAAGGACATCAGTGAGGCGAGAGGCATCTGAAATACCTCACAGCCTGCAGCTACTGTGACCCTTGCTTGGAAAAGTGGCAGACACCGGATGGATGGTGTTCTTTAAACTGCAGTGAAGTGGAAAAACGCCCCACAGTTACTGCGTAGCATGAAGTTATCAGACATGCCAACTAGCCGGGTTGTCTGGTCACCTCACCGGTACAGAAAATAGCTTTAAATTCAAATAGGCACTCGTAGATAATTATGCATTTGGGTTATACGTGTGGCTCCCAACTGGTACAGCTCGTAACCCCGTAGAATGATTCAGTGGAACCTCGTAAACGCTTTTCACTGGACAGGAAGTCTGGAAGAAATCCACCAAATGATCCGTCATACAAAACAATTTAAGTAATTTTAACAGGTCGGGAAACGGTACAATCATCCAACCTCATGCAATGAATGTTTAAAAAAAGCCGCCCAAAAAACACAAATTTATGTAGCAGAGCTTTATTTTGTGTTGTTCCTTGTCCATATAATCATGT